GGCAGCATGTGGTGCTGGGGATTGAACTCCAGTTCCCTGCACCTGCCTAAGGTTGCCTACGCAGTTGCTTTAGACCACTGAGCTATCTCACCAGCCCCAATATGTAGGTTTGCAATAATGTAGTGTACATAAATAGAATAGTATAAAGTAATAGGGCTGGGGAGATAGCTCAGTGCAATAAGTGCTTGCCTGCCAAGCGAAAGGTCCTGAGTTTAATCATTGGTACTGAAAAAAAAAATAGTATAAAATAACATATTCCTAAATTCTTTAATCACTTCATAATGTCTAATCTCACAATCTTCTCATTAAGCTAAAGATTGCATATTCACATGTCAGTAATATACATCATATATATGTATATATATGTATCTGTTTTATCTAGAAGTGTATGTACCTTATATATGTCCACAGTGAGTAATGGTAAAGCATAGAAAGCAGTATTGATACATACAGAGATGAATTGCTGGTCAGGAAATTGACTAGCATTGTTTATTCCAGAAGTGATTTTAGTCAGAGCAAATATGCTGGACAGTTTCCTGACCAGCAGTTTTCCAGTAATTTTTTAAAGCTCAATGTTTCTAAATTTGAACATTTAAAAGTATTTTGTTGAGATCTAAAAGCAGGCACTATTCTTAGCACTAGGGAGAAAGTAAAGAATATAGATAAAATTCTTAGATCTCATATGTTTTGCATTGTGGTATAGGGTCAGAACCATAAATCAAAGGAGAAGACCCACTGGTTCAAGTAGCACCATAGGTCTGGTGCTGGGTGAAACTTCTGTGTAAAGGATTAGCAGATTACACTGGTGTGCTGTTCCCTGGCATCTAGAAGAGGTGGCTTGGCCAGGGACAGTAAGGCACATTGGATTATTCTCTTGGAGAGGGACCATCTTTTATTTTATTGATTGGAGTGGAGCATGCGTCACTGGGGGGCTTCTGTCACCATGGGAATAGCTGGTAGTGGAGATCCATATCCTGCAGCTATGTGCCAGCAGTGCAGACGGCATTTGAAGAAGACTGCATGAAAATTCAAGAAGGTGCGTAGCTTTTTGCACTAAAGAGTCTAGAGCTCCTGGTTTGCACGTAGCTCAGCATTATGAGGTCATTCATTGGACAGATATATTTGTGTCTCAGTAGCCATCTCCCAATCCAAGAGGCTATTTGTAACTGGCTCAGCCTGCCCTTGCTGCCCCCCCCCCCAGCTGGCACAGCATGTGGTGCCTAATCTTGCCTAAGCAGGTGCTTGAGACTGCTGAGCTATATCAGTGGCCCCCAAGAGGCTAAACAAGCCTTTCCACCAAAGACATGTTAATGCACCTTTCAGTTTCAAAAATTAGAAGAAAGAAGAGGCTATCCATTGACCTCTTTCATAAACATCTCGGCATTGAACACATTCATTCTTTGCCAGGGAAGGGTCTGTCATTTCCCTTGGTGATGAATCAAGCTGATCTTTTCCCCTGAGTACCAAATTTCACTAGGACTCAGGAGTCATTATTTTGCCATTGCAAAAAGCTCCCCAGGACAGAGGAGGATGACTGTGGAACCATTCAGTGCAATAAGTTAATGTGTCCCTACCTAGCTAAGTTGTCTAAAAAGAGCAGTAATCACAATGTGCAAACCTGCTTTAGTCCTTTTGGACTGTGATAATAGGATACTGTGCACCAGGTGTCTTTTAAAAAAAAAAAAACTTTATTTCACACAGTTGTTAAAGCTGGGAAGCCTCAGATCAGGGTGAAGAGCTTCCTGTTTTGTAGACATCTGTCTTCTGTGTCCTCTCATGGCATCCTTATAAAACAAACTCTCTGGAGTTATTTATTTATTTATGTGTGTATGTGTGTGTGTGTGTGTGGCCAGCTCAGCCCACCAGGGGGCGGGGCTGGCTGGCATGTGGTGCTGGGGGATTGAACCGCGGTCCCTGTGCTTTGCTAAGCTTGTTCTAAGTAGGTGCTTTAGACCACTGAGCCACCTCTCCAGCCCCTCTGGAGATTCTTTTATAGGAACACTAATCCTCTTCATTGGGCAGAGAGCACCGCTAGCCTACTCGTCTCTCAGAAAGGGGCAAGGATTTCTACATGTCAGTTTTGGTAGGACACTGACATTCTGACAATTACAGCAACTGTCACATCATGTCGGGCCTTATCCTGGACCAGAGGAGTGGCCGTTCAGGATAGTGGGAGAGACCTCGTGGCTTTAGAATCTCCAGTGAGATTTCTCTCTAGAGAAACCTACAGATTGCATCTTTATCACAGTGATGACCACAGGGAATTCCTTGCTTTTCCTTCTTCGAAAGAAGCAAATCTTTTAAATCTAGTCTATCTTTTGTATCAACGAGTCATTTCTTTTTGATTTGCTTGTTTTTGAGTTCCAGAGTTTGTTATTATGTTTTGTGAAAATCAGTGTTCATGTAAACAGATAATCTATAATAATAGGGCTATAACGGATGTGCAGCTCTTTAGAGAAGGAAGCATTTCAGATAAGATTTAAAGAGACATTTTTGGCTGTAGTGTCATAAAAGAATAAAAGGATGTGGTGTGTTCAGACACTGGGGACAAGCTTTGCTTAGTGAAGGGTGAGTTAGAATAGGTGGAAATGACAGAGAGAGAGAGAGAGAGAGAGAGAGAGAGAGAGAGAGAGAGAGAGAAAAAGGTTTCAACAGGCACCTTGCAGTCATATAAGGCATTTCCTGACCTATTTTAGAGGTGGGAGCATAGCAAGTATCAGCCAGCCTACTGATGTTTGTGATTTTACAATTTCTTATATAACCACTCTTTGTTTTTGTATTTACTGGCATTAATGGTGGTTATATCATCTTTCATTTGTGTATCTTCAGGTGGCTTCCTCCTGTGTGTTCTTATTCTAATAATGTGGGAGTGATGTAGCTCTGAGAAGATGACAGTATTCTAATTTTTGTAGGTGTAGAGACTGAGGTGTAGAGAACTGACATGTTTTATTTGCAGTTGCATGATGTACTTACAGTGAGACCAGATCTTCTGATTTTTAATTCCGTGTGCCTGTTGGGCCTTGTTTGTGTATATATTGCTACTTTTGTCTCCGTTGAAATTATCTTTTCTTCTCTGTAGGACTTGGCTTTTACTCTGGAAGAAAGGCAGCAACTGAACATTCATGGGTTGTTACCACCCAGCTTCATCAGTCAGGACCTTCAGGTCCTTCGAGTAGTGAAAAATTTTGAACGCCTCAACTCCGACTTTGACAGGTAACACTTTCCTGAATGTAATTTCTGTTTCTCTTAAGCAACTGTCAGGTGTTCTTTTCTTTTTTTGTAAGAGACAGTTAAAATGTTGTAGTGATTTGAAAATGTTAGCCAGTTTTGAGAATTTGCTTATAGATAGAATGATTTGTAAAAATTACTTTATCTAGGAACATTTGAACGAAATAAAATTTGTTTTCCAAACTGTCTTCCCAGAGAGATTATATTTTTCTTATGCCATCATCATGGTCATCAAGGTAAATTATCACAAAATCCTATCATAAACGGGACAAAATAACTAAAGTGACTTTTAGTCACACTTTAAGTATATTGTAGGCGGCCTCCCCGCCCCGCGCCCTTTACAGCGGCGCGCGCTGCCCGGGTCCCTGTCCCGCTGCCCTCCACCCGCCGTCGAGATGTTGCGCTGCAGCCTGGCCTTTGAGCGCTGCCGCTGGATCCTGCCGCTGCTGCTGCTCTGCGCCATCGTGTTCGACATCATCGCGCTGACCGGCCGCGGCTGGCTGCAGTGGAGCACACACGTGCAGACGGCCTCGCTGTCGTGGAAATGCGCGGACGAGCAGGGCGGCACGGGCTCCGCCGCCGAGGGCTGCGAGAGCCTCATGGACTACGCGTGGGGGCGAGCGGCGGTGGCCATGCTCTTCTGCGGCTTCATCATCCTGATCATCTGCTTCATCCTCTCCTTCTTCGCCCTCTGCGGACCCCAGATGCTGGTCTTCCTGAGAGTGATCGGAGGCCTCCTCGCCCTGGCAGCTGTCTTTCAGGTCATCTCCCTGGTCATCTACCCTGTCAAGTACACCCGGACCTTCAACCTTCACGCCAGCCCTGCGGTCACTTACATCTATAACTGGGCCTATGGCTTCGGCTGGGCAGCCACAATTATCCTGATTGGCTGCGCCTTCTTCTTCTGCTGCCTGCCCAACTACGAAGACGATCTGCTGGGCAATGCCAAGCCCAGGTACTTCTACACCTCTGCCTGAGGCGGAAGGAGCGTGACAGGCTCCAGCCGAGGGCCGGGAGGAGGGGACCTCCAGGCCGCTGGCATCTGTTTTAGCAGCGTTCGGAAGCCCCAGGCCTCTGGGACGCTCTTTCGGCAGTGTTCATTGGGTTAAACTGGTTGGAAACGCTAAAATAGTCTGGGAGAAAATATTCCTTAAATTGTGTTATAGTTTCAGATTCCTCTATATTTTGTGGAATTTATAAAAAGACACTTCTTTTTTGGTAGTTGCTTACAAAATGCCAACATTTTTCCTATGTCTGTTGATAGCCTTTATACCGAATTTATAAAAGAACATGAACTTGAAAGGTAGAAAGATGAAGGCTTCCAGGATGTAGCAATCTGATGCAGTTTGTGAGTTTTTTTTTCCCTCAGATAGAAAGGATTTTTCTATTAAGGGTTAAGGAGAAGAGGGAACTATTGGTAAAAATTGTCTGTAACCAAACATCCTAAAATTAATGTAAAACATAAACTTATTTTCAAGCTTTCAGCTATATAAAGAAGCAAAGTATTTCTTAAGTGTGTATCATATTTGAGAGTTTGTAATTGATTTTCTAAGAAGTTTTTGCCAGTGAACTGCATGCTGACTTGGCATTACACAGAGGGAAGTGTTTCTCCAGGGCCCAAAGCAGATCGCAGTCGGGAGACCTCTTTACATAGGAAAGGGCCGAGCCGAAATTTGCTCTTTTAATAAAAGTAGCTTATGGGGGTAGGGTGTGGGGAATGCTCTGTTGGTAACTGTGTGCTGCTTCATGTCTGCGTGGTCAGGGCCTGCATAGGGTCGGCTGAAAGATGGGCCAGATCTGAGTCTCTGACTGATGGGAATGACGAAACCACGTAGTAAGGGTCAGGAAAGTTCCTGTTGTCCCCAAAGTGCCATTAAAACAGGACAAGGGGAAGAAATGGCTTGAATCTTTCATCTCCGGTTTACCTGGGCTCTAACTATATAGACACACCTCTGTTAGATCTTAACTGTCACAGAAACCTAAATATAATTCAAAACCTGGTCTTCCTTGGTAAAATGTCTGCTGTAAAATACACAACAGAAAAATTCAGAGATATGAATTTCCCTAAACATATATTGGATGAATTGTTATTATTATTTTTTTTACCATTTATATTGCCATAATGGAAACCAACTCATTTTATATATCAAATTACTATTTTATAAGATGTGCCACAAGCAGGTAAAGTTTTCATTGTGTGTTTTTCTCAATAAACCAGGTGCTAAAATCTTGAGTCT